TGCTGCTGCTTGGTAGCTGCTGTTGATGCTGCTGCTGCTTGGTAGCTGCTGTTGATGCTGCTGCTGCTTGGTAGCTGCTGCTGCTGGGTAGCTGCTGCTGCTTGGTAGCTGCTCCTGCTGGGTAGCTGCTGCTGCTGCTGCTTGGTAGCTGCTGCTGCTGCTTGGTAGCTGCTGCTGCTGCTGGTACTGCTGCTGCTTGTTAGCTGCTGTTGCAGCAGCAGGAGCTTGGTAGCTGCTGTTGGTGCTGCTGCTGCTGCTGCTTGGTAGCTGCTGTTGCTGGGGCTGCTTGGTAGCTGCTGCTGCTGCTGGGTAGCTGTAGCTGCAGCTGCTGCTGCTGCTTGGTCGCTGCTGTTGCTGCTGCTGCTGTTTGGTAGCTGCTGCTGCTGCTGCTGCTGCTGCTGCTGCTTGGTAGCTGCTGCTCCTGCTGCTTGGCTGCTGCTGCTGCTGCTGCTGCTGCTGCTTGGCCGCTGCTGCTTGGCCGCTGCGGCTGCGGCTGCTGCTGCTGCTGCTGCTGCTTGGCTGCTTGGCTGCTTGGCTGCTTGGCTGCTGCTGCTGCTGCTGGCTGCTGCTGCTGCTGCTGCTTGGCTGCTGCTGCTGCTGCTGCTTGGCTGCTGCTGCTGCTGCTTGGTAGCTGCTGCTCCTGCTGCTGCTGCTGCTGCTGCTTGGTAGCTGCTGCTGCTGCTGCTGCTGCTAATGCTGCTGCTGCTGCTGCTTGGCTGCTGCTGCTGCTGCTGCTGCTGCTGCTTGGTAGCTGCTGCTGCTGCTGCTGCTGCTGCTTGGTAGCTGCTGCTGCTGCTAGCTGCTGCTGCTTGGTAGTTGCTCCTGCTGCTGCTGCTAGCTGCTGCTGCTTGGTGGCTGGTGCTGCTGCTTGCTAGCTACTCCTGCTGCTGCTGCTGCTGCGGCTGCTGCTTGGTAGCTTCTTTTTGCTGCCGCTGCCGCTGCTGGTTGCAGTTATTGTTGTTGTTGCTGCTGCTGCTGCTGCGGCGGTTGCTGGGGTGGTTGTGTGTTGCCATGTGTTGGCTGTGTTGGGGTCGTATTTGGGGGGCGCTGTTGGCACTCTCCTTTTCCCTTGGCCATGGCATGTTGCGATTCCCGGCCAGGCTGTTGCTGCCTAAAGAGCCCCAGCGTTGTTTATTTGCCTAGCCTTCGCCACCCCCTCTGGGCCACAAGTATAGATGTTAAATAGATGTGTGATGTGTGTTTTATTCTTATTTCTATTTTTGAATCTAAGTTGAATTTCATTGTTTCGGCATTTTTTGCGTGGCAAATCCTTGGGATTCCCCAGACAATTCTTGGCCCGTACATGATATCAACCCTCCCGTTGTGGGGGGACAGGAGAGAAGTGGGCACTGCTCGTTCCGGGTCGACTCTACTATGTGCTGTTAAAACTCTTCAGGTGCGTTCCCCATGACAGTAGGATGTGGCAAAATCAAATGACACCTCACAGCCTCCAGAACGCACACCTGCTGTAAAGAAAATCGACACCACACGGAGTTTAGCATAATCGTCAACCGTCAGTGATGGCAAAGGGAGAGAGAGAGAGAGAGAGAGTTGTTGCTTTGCTGCCTTCTTCCTGATCCATATTCTGTTCTCCTATTGGCTTGGGAATCGGGCGATTGAAAGAAGAGAGGTGCTGCAACGTGAAGATGTTCGCTTGTCCACGGGGGCGGGTTGCTCTTTCTGTCCTGCATGCATTCAGGTCATGCAACTAGAGTAGGTTCGTGCACGCTATTCCGCTGGCCTTTAGCAGAGGCTGACATGCATCTCGCCTGTCAGGAGGGAGGAGCTAGCAAAGCTTTTGAATCAGAAGGACCTCGTTGTTTTGCGAAAAAGATGTCCGTGGGATTTGGGAGGTGAAGACTCCCCTGCGCCGCTGCCAAGGACTTAGCTGTGAAGACGCCGACGCCTCTTCAGCTGGAGCAGCTTGTGGAAGATTGCGGTTTTGAGGATGTCTCGACCTCAACTGCTCACAGCCACCGCCACCAAACCACCAAACTTGCTTTGGGAACGGCTTGTTCTTGGGAAGGTTCTGTCTTCAGAGTGCAGCACTGCTGCTGTTTTGAACAAACCAAGGCCCAAACCCAAACCGAAACCTTCTCAGTGCCACCTGACACAGGGGAAGCTCGAAGCACGGGTGCGGGCCGTCCTGGACCTCTCGGATCACACCCGTGTGGCGGAGCAATGAGCGGCCGCGGTGGGTGTTCTTCGAGCGCTTTCGAGCTGTTTCACCGCATTAGACGTACTGAAGGGCACGTTTCAAAAGAGATGAAGGACGTGTGATGTAGCACATGAAAGTTATATAGATGCAAAGACAGCCCACTGGTTGCAGCCGTGCAGGGTGCAGTTGAGCACCTAACCCTCCAGCCTCATGGGCCGCCACCTGAGTAAGGTGCAGAAGAAACCATGCGAGCTCCTTTGGCCTGTGAGCGCGGCACTTGGTGAACATCGGCGTTTCATTGAGGGACGCTTCGCACATGGGGCATCGCATCGCTTGGACGTTTCCCTGCAATTGCCTAGGCTTGCAAGCCGTTTTGGAAAATCCTGCAGATGGGTGGGGTGGCCCCAGAGGAATTCAGCGGCACCTTCAGAGCTCACACCCCGTCTATCAGACAGGCCCATCGCCGGGGTAAGGTGTTTGAGGCACAAAGGATTGGACAACCAACTGTGGATGCGGCATTCATACAGTCCCTACCATAATTGACAATATTGACACGCCCTCGCCGTTTGGAGTGCACTTGACTTGGCCTTTGCCAAGGCCTATTGAGTTCCATGCAGTCTCAATGGAGGCTGACGGTGAGGGCATTGTGGACCACCACATGTCCCTGACAAGGGCGCAGCCTGAAACCCAGAGGGCTGTTCGGCATTGTTCGGCCCTATCATATCTGGGTAGAACCCTTTCACAGCCACGAAGAAGCCCTCCTCAGTTTGGCTTGCTTGAGGCTCACACTCATCCTGGATGTGTTGGCCGAGAACATATGCTTCTCCGTCAGCAGGAAGAAGTTGCTTTTTTCCTTGAGATGTTCTTGGAAACTGGTTTGCAAAAAAATCATAAAATCCCCAACTGCAGACAATATGGGGTTCAATCCAGGGGTATGTGGGTGAGTTCCATTTGCGTACTAGTTCCACTATTGCTTGAGGTTCTTTTGTCTCTTTTGGTTGTCTGATTCTAATGCTTTCCACGATTCCGAGGCTATACTGGGCGATCTGGCTTCGCGGGAGGTGCAGCTCCGATCCAGCGACCTCGGTCACAAGGCTGGTGACGGGGGGTTCAGGAGGTCATGGCTCCATATCATGCGCTTCTTCAGGTGGTGAAAAGAAGGGCAGAGGCTTTCGATTCTCTTGGAGGCCAGTTTCAGTTGATGACTGTGAACAAGCAAGCAATGTGAAAGAAAGAACACGAGATGCTGAGTGGCGCATGGTAGGGTGTTGATTTTGTTGGCGTGGAGGTTTGAGCTTGATCGTGTCTTGGGTTGTTTGCACATGCCCCACCTGATGGCTTTCAGGTGGCCGGGGGAGCTCAAGTGGGATATTGCCTTTACAGAGGCCCAGTGGCCAGACCCATTTCTTGAGGGAGGAGTTTTGACAGTGTTGATGACCTCATGAGGGCTTTTGGGGTGTTTACCTCACATCCATTCCGCTTCCCTGGAGCGAAGGCAGCGCAATTGGCATGCTTGAAGCTTCGTGGGGGCATGCTGGGCTTCAGCAGTTTACCCACAGGGTGCCATGCTCGGAGCGACGAGCGAGACGAGGGGGTTCTGGGAGTGACGTGAGGTCAAGCTATCAGTTGAATTGCCTCTCACTGACGGTCAGGGACTCAGGGCCAGGACTGTGCGCATTGGGAGGCATGAAGAAAAACAAGGCAACGAGAATCGTTATGGGCCACGGCGCTTTTTGGACTATAAGCATTGCTCCTTGTTTCATGAAAGTCCTGTGGGAACCGCATGACCCTGATTTTGTTGATGATAGCTACTGAGAGGGTCCACATGTTTTTCGTCGTTCTGGCACTTCCCGCCAGAACGGCGCACAAGTTTTCAACGACCGTGAGAATCGAAACTTGTCCCGCAGCACAACCACCCTACAAACAAACACCAGGTTTGCCAAAAACCATCTACAAACCAGGGGTCGACTAGGACCAGGAACCGGCCCAGACGATGACCAAACACGCTACATCTTGGAAGCTAGAAACCCAAAGCACCAAAATGAACACCACTCGCACTGAGGGCAGCCATGCTGCCTCTCACCTGGAAACAAGATAGGGATGAAGATAATTTAATGACACAGAGATGGACACGTGCATGAAACGAAGAGAGAGAGAGAGAGAGATATATATATATATAATGACACACAGATGAACATGGAATGATGAAAGTAAGAAAACGAGCCAAGAAGGTATATAGCCAAGAAGGTTTTGTTTGCACGGAAACGGCTCTCCAAAGAGAAACGTTTTTATCTCAAAAGACGAACGGAGAATCAACAAACAGTGTATATATATTATATAACCGCTTTCTCAGCAACTCTGATATCACGCTACAAGAATAAGACCAGTGTTCCACAGTTTCGCACATATGCCAAACAGTTTAAGTTCAAGTCCAACCAGCAGCTCAAAGTTGCAGCGCTAAACGTGCGACGTTTGAATCAGCTCGCTAAGCGAGAGACACAGATAAGAAGCATGAAAAAGAAGCTTTTTTGTGACTGAAGCCAATGTGAACCTCAACTGTGTGGAATAGTGTGATATACTGATATACGGGTTTCTTTAGTACCAATAGTGACTAAAATAAGAGACCGGTAGCAAGATAAGAGAGAAGGCCAGACTGGCAGACAAAGGCCCAGTGACACTGGGACCGACTGTCAGCTCGCAGCTGATTTCGAACACGCAGGAGTTGGTATTGTTGTGCAAAAACTCCCTCCTGAACTCACTTAACGATGTTAAGGTTGCTTCACATGGGTAGGATCTGACATTCATTGGCGCATATTCCCCACACAGTGGCTATCTCACTGAGAGCAGCAAGGAAGACTTCTATGACCAAGTCTCGCAAGACATCGAAGAATTGCTTCATGTATGGGTCGATCTTATAGGAGGTGATTTCAATGCTCGATTCTGCCATGTTGGAGAAGGGGATATGGATGTGTGTGGGCCCTCAATAGTCGAGAGAGGCATGGAATACCCAAGTCATATGAACGAATAATCAAAGGAAAGTCGAACACTCTTCCTCGGGTGATGTGCAATGTACGGCTTGATGATATTTGGAACAGCCAGCTTTCAATACTGCTGGACAAGCGAATCACATACAAAAAAGACCACTGATTCAGATTTTGGACCCTCTTCTCGGGCTGAAAGATATGCTAAAATCGATCACTGGCTGACTAGCAGAGACTAAAGGCATTCCTTGCGCACGAATGTCCAGAGCCGACGAGACATTGCTTTTGAATCAGCCAATTTGTTGCTAGAATCATGCATTTATACGAAGCCACAACCGCATCTTGAAGGAGTCCAATTTATCACATCTTTTGGTATCTCAAACCTACCCCCGATCGATTCAACGGGTTCAAAAGAATCACACTTGTTCCCAAGCTCTATCTAACTCTAATGGTGCTGTTCGTTTGAACATTATTGTTCAAGGACTCTTCCCCGCGGCCGTGAGAAGTTTGGGACAGGTTCCTAAGGGAAAGACGCAACACGATATTGATATATATATATATATTCACACTTGCATGTAGCTTGCGGGTGCAAGTTTTATGTTCACTGAAGTTCACAAAATGTCCCACCGGGACATTTTGGCTCAAGTTGGTGGCAATCATCCACAGGATTGCACCTGAACTTTTGAAGAAACTCCCCAGTACATCGGTTTTTGTCGAACACGACGCAATGGCGCACCCGATGGAAGCGGAGTATGTGATGATCGAGACGTTCAGAGACGCCCAACCAGACGATGGGGATTCGGCTACGGTCAGTAGCCCGGGCATTGAGAGCTTGGACCAGGCAGCGGATGCTGCGTCTACAGCCCTCCGTCATGCGGAGGCGGAAGGGGCTCGTGGACTTGCCGTTTTTGGGCAGATGTCTTGGTCTCCGAGCTGGATGCTCAAGAGCAGATTCGCCAGCTGGAGCGCCACATGCAGGAACTCAAGGTCCAGATAGCCAACCAAGAAGATGCGGACATGGGCCTGGACCTCCTGGGGCTGAGCAAACCTGCTGATGGCGGCGCTGGCAACCCTCCCGCTGGACCTGGCGCCTTTGGCCCAGCTGCGGGGAGGGTTGCACAGTTGCAGCTGCTGCGGGAGTGGCGCCGACCTCGAGCTCTACTACACCTTCTGCAGCGGAGGCCGAGCCTGCGCTTTTGACAACCATGGCGGAACCACCAGTGGCCTGGCCTGTCTCGGTGGAGCCCCGACCAGAGGCACCACCTCAGAAGATGGAGGAGGACAGCAGTGAGAGAGCGGGCCTAGGTTTCACGCCCCCTGCACCGGCAGCGTATTCGGTAGATCCTCTAGATGCCATGGCGGCGGCCTCGGCGCCTTCTACACCCCCAGCGAGGGACCAAGCCCCTGAGCCTCCAGAGCAAGCGACCGGTTCCACAGCCAATGGAGGAACCCACATCCAAGACACCTACCTTGCCGGGCTTCACGAGGGCCTCAGGAGCGACAGCGGCTTCGATCCCTATGCCGATCCGGTTCATCCCGGTACGGGAGCCCGAGAACCACGTCCGGTTTGCCATGTTCCCGGACGCCTTTCCGGCCATCCCGGGCCACTTGGCGGGGCTCCTCACCTCGTGCACGGAGAAGGAGATGGTCCAGCTCTTTGACCAGTTCACGGGCTACCCCCTCTCCACGCCGGTGGTCACTCGCATCATTGAGCAGTACATCCCCCTGCGGGCCTTGGCCATGCAGGAGAGGGTTTGGACACAGAAATATCAGAAGGCCACCGACAATTCGGCCTGACGGAGCATCGAGGCCTCCACCGGCCTGCAGGGGACATGCCCTTCCACTCCATGTGTGGTAAATGCATGACGCCCTGGCCGGACAATGCGACCAGGTGCTGGATCTGCAAGCACGACCAAGCCACCGAGTACCAGCGGCCTACATCCATCATGGAGGTCGGCGACGAGACCTGGACGCTGCTCTAGGGCCGGCCAGTCTGGCGACGAGCTGCTCCTGCCCAGTCTACCCCAAGTGCCCTGGGCCCTGAGGCGACAGGCATGGACCCTGAAGCGGAGAGGCACTTCAAGCTGTCACACTCCATTGACGGGAGCCAGTTTGCCCAGGCCCCCGCGGCCACTTGCACTGAGGAAGAGAGGACCTTTGCGGACGAGGTCCCATCCGTCTGCAGGGTCCACATCCGGCAGGAGATCCTGTCGGCTGACTATGAAGATGACGCCACTGCGACCACGGAGGCCCATCGCAGACAGCTCGAGGAGCAGCAACCGGCTCAGTCCTTCCAGATCTTCCACCCAGAGGCGGCCAAGGCACTTCGCATTCAGTCCGAGGCCCTTCAAGCCCTCTCAGCTGCCGACCTCAAGGCGGAGCGCGCCCAATCAGAGGAGGCTGAACGCGTGGAGAAGGCGGACCATGTGGCCCAGTTGCAGGCCGCAGTCCTGGCCCCCATTCAGGAGGGCATGCAGTCGGTCCCGGACAGTCAGGTGCGGAACTCCGGCTCCGACCTCCTACGGAAGGTCAACCTTGTGGACTTCAAAGCCGCCTTGAAGAAACGGATGCTGGAGGAGACATCCGGCAGCACAGAGGCCTCCCTTCAGGCGGCCATCACCTCCATGGAGAAGGCCAAAGCGGCAAACAAACAGATCCAAGACCAGGGTACAGCCTTCATGGAACAGTTTGCCCTCAACCCTGTGGAGATCTCGGCGTGGCCGACTGAACTCAAGCACAAGCTGGAGCGGGGCCTGTTTTGTCCTACGGCCTCCCTGGACTGGCACCAGGTCCCGGACCTCTCGGACATGTTGCGCCACTACCTTCCGGCCATGAGGGCACTGCAAGATGGCCAGAACCCATGGGCCGAGCACTCCAAACTTCTGGAGGAAATGCCCGATCTCAAGCAACGGTGGCTACCGCGGCAAATGGGCAGGCTTCAACTCCTGGTGCCATTGGCCCAGCGCTGACCGGCCCTGGCATGGCGACCCTCAATGAGATGGATGAGGAGGCGAAGAAATTGGCCATGCTGCTTTGGGCCCTGAAAGTACATCGTGGCGAACTTCGAATGTTTGGTGGAGTCTGGCGCCGGGTGCCTGAGTTTAGTCCGCCCCTCCCGGACTGGGCACAGCCCAAACCTGGTGCACTATCAGCCAAGGAGGTGGACAGATACCTGGCATTGGAGAGGCGGACTCACCCAAGTTCCTTCGGCTCGGACATCCCATTATACAGATCAGGAGGTGGAAGAACACAGGCGTGAGGGAACTCGGCCACCACTGATTGGGATCCATCCTATCCATTTGGTGGGCCCACGACACCGCCAAGGATGAGAAGTGGCGCCGGGAGAGCCGCACGTGGGACTTGAAGTCCCTCATCCACATCTACTCGATGCGGTACACGTTCAAGTACATCTACAGCCTGTGGTGCAGCCTTCCTTTGGCCATCGAGTCAAAGCAACGAGGCAAAGACGCTCCGGGCTCCACCACCAAGACCCGGAATCTGAGGCGTTGCGAGGCGCGCAAGGAGGCCAGCTCCTTTCTAGCAGCCCTGGGCCTGGACAAGCCTGCGGACAAGGACGAATGGCGCAAGGTGCTCCGAGAGATGGGCTCCTTCCTGAGGGGGGCTCTGCACCCATCAAGGGCGACAATCCGAGGGAGCGGGTAGCGA